CATGTGTGTTACTGTTACATGAGAAACTATCTGTTCTGTAAGCCTTCACCTGAAGTACAATAAAATATTAAAAAAAAAAAAAAAGAAAAAAAGAAATACCGTCACTTATATAAAAACACTCACTCCCCCCACTAAGGAAACCTGGGGCAGTCTGAGTTAACTGTACATGCCCACATGTACACAGCTCTGAGATCAGAATGCTTTCCCCATCTTAAACCCCACCACCACTCAAAGTCCTCCTCAAGCCCCTCCGCCTCCCACCACTCTCCTCTGACTGCCATCGCCAACACTGAGTCCTCATCCTCCTGCATTCTGCCACACTAGGGCACCAACATATAATCAGCTTTGGCTCATGGTTAGAAATTATTATATTTTCCTAGATAGGAAATGCTAACATTTTCTTAGATAGAATTCTAAGATGGCTCCCAGGACTCCTGTCCCCTAGTGAACACCTACCTTCTCCCAGTTATTCATCAAACACTAATGTAGCTACTGCTGCAAAAGGATTTTGCAGATGTAATTAAGATCCCAAATCAGCTGATCTTAAAAAAACAAAGGAGATCCAGGTGGGCCTACCCTAATCACATAAACGCCTTAAATCTGGGTCTAGACGCCAGAAGTAAGTAAGTCAGAAAGACATATGAGAGGGACTGGACATAAAGTAGATTCTCCCTAGCTGGCTTTGAAGATGGAAGAGGCCATGTGGCAAAGAATGTCGGCAGTGGCTACTGTGGCAAGGAAACTGGGACCACAGTCCCACCACTACAAAGAACTGAATTCTGCCCACAACCTGAATGAAGCTGAAAGTGGATTTTTCCCTAGATTCTCCAGACAAGAATTCAGTCTAGCCAACACTTTGGTTTCAGCCTTGTGATACCCTGAGCAGAAAACCAACCCAGTCACATTATGCCAGGACTTCTGACTTACAGAACTGTGAGCTAATAAATAGATGTTACTTTAAGCCATAAATTTGTGTCTCTCCTCCTAGGAGATTTTTGGGAGGGCAGGGACAAGCTATAACCCTTTGAAACGTCTTAAGCACACTGTTGGGAACACAACAGAAATACAATACAGTAAGTTCTTGCTGATTGAACTGAACGGAAACAGAGCAGGAGCGCTAAGTAACGGACACAGATGAGAACCACCTTGGGAAGATTCCAGGCAGCGCTCAGGGCAGCACTGTGCTGAGGCCTGCTTATGTTGTAGAACAAGAACTGCAGTGCTAGGCTATTAGAGCCTTTCCTCAGATGGAAGCCAAGTTTTTTCTTTCCTTACGGGGAGCCCTGGTGGCACAGTGATTAAGAGCTCGGCTGCTAACCAAAAAACGCTGGCAGTTTGATCCACCAGCCGCTCCTTGGAAACCCTATGGGGCAGTTCTACTCTGTCCTATAGCGTCGCTATGAGTCAGAATTGACAACAACGGGTTTGGTTTTTTTTGATATGGGATGCCGAGGGTGACCTGGGGTAACTGGTTACTACACCTCGCTAGCTAAATGTCAGCTGGGAAGAGAAGGAAAACAAAGACAAAAGAATTCACTATTCCAGGAAAAACCAGGCCTTCCAGCCTATTCTGAGGGTTTACTGAGCTTCCTCAGCTGGAGAGGACCTAGAGGGAGTGTGAGGCAGCCCTTCTTTTCATCTAGAGCCCTGAGGCCACCAGAGTTGTGGTTTCCACCAAGTTAGGTTGCTGGGAATTTCCAGCATCCTGAAGGCGTTTGGCCACTTTCTGAAGCTTGATGTGGTGGGAGTTGATCAATGCTACCCTTTGGGTGCAAAATAATCATTCCTTCCCATATGTACTGACTGTGTTCTTTGGTCTTGGCACAAATGGATATCAAAACTCACCTTGTGCATGTGGGAAGAAAGTACTCATGATGCATGTTATCTGGCAAAGGACTCATATCAAGAATGTTACCAATTAAATTGTGTCCACCAAAAAAACTATGTTGAAATCCTAACCCCTGTACCTGTAAATGTGACCCTGTGTGGAAATAGTGGTGTTTCTTTTGTTACGTTCATACTAGAGTAAGGTTGGTCCTAAACCTACTTCTGAATGATATCTTATGAAAAGGACACAATAGACTGAGACACACACAAACACAGGGGAAGACAGATGCCATATGAGGATCAACTACAAGCAAAGGGATGCCAAGATTGCCACTGGACAACCGGAAACTAGGAGAGAGGCCCACAAAAGGAATCAGCATGGCCAAGATGCTGGTTAGCCTCCAGAACTGAGAAAATAAATTTCTGTTCTTTAAAGTCACCCATTTGTGGTATTTTCTATTAGGGAAGCACTAGGTATTTAAGACAGAGTACGTAAAGAATACTTACAAATCAATGGTAAACAAACAACCCAGTTAAAAAATAATAATAATCAAGCCCTCAAAAAAGCTATTGGAATGATCAATAAGCATATGAAAAGGTGCTTGATATCATTAGTCATCAAACAAATGAAAAATTAAAATAACAATGAGATACCACAACACACCCACCAGAATGGCTAAAAGTAAAAAGACTGACCATGCCAAGTAGTGCTGAGGATGTGCAGCAACTCCAACATTCAGACACTGATGGTGAGATTACAAAATAGTGCATTCTCTATTTGGGAAAATACTACTTAACAGCTTCTAATTGAGTTAAACATGTGTCTACCTTATGACCCAGCAATTCTACTACTAGCCATCTACCCAAGGGAAATGAAAGCATATAATCACACAAAGACTTGTATAAGAATGTTTAGAGTAGCTTATGCATAAAAGCCAAAAATAATTGGAATAACTCATATGTCCATCAGTTGTGGTATGTTCATACAATGGACTACTGAGAGTGGTACTGATACAGATAACATAAATGACTCTCAAAAGCACTGTTTCACAGAGAAACCCAGACAAACACAAAAGAACATGTTATGTAGAGAGAGAGACAGATAAATGCCTTCAGGTAGACTTCAGCTCATGGTGACCCCCTGTGCAAAAGTTGCCCAGCCCTGTGTCATTCTCACAATCACTTTCTCACAATCACCAGCATTTCTGAAGCTACTGTGCCAGTACATCTCATTAAAGGTCTCCCTCACCCCCCGAGGCCCTCTACTTCACCAGACATGAGGTCCTCTTCTAGCAAATGATCCCTCCTGATGACACATCCAAAGCAAGCAAGTCAGAAAATGTTCTGTTGTGATCCATAAGGTTTTCACTGGCTAATTTTCAGAAGTAGAGTGCCCGGCCTTTTTTCCTAGTTCGACTTAGGATGGAAGCACCGCTGAAAACTGTACACCATGGGGGACCCCGCCGGTATTTGAAACACTGGAGGCGTAGCTTCCAGCATCACAGCAACACACAAATCACCACAGTACAACAAACTGACAGATTAGTGATGGATATTATGTATAATGCCATTTACCTTATGTTCAAAAACATGCAAAGCCAATCTACAGTGAAAGATGTCAGGATATCAGATGTCAGTGGTTATCTCTGGTGAATAGAGAATAGTACTGACCGGAAAGGGTCATCAGGGGATTTTCTGGAGCTTTGGGAATGTTCTCTGTGGTGATCACATAGGTGTAAACAAAAAAAAATAAACCCGTTGCCATTGAGTCGATTCTGACTCACAGTGAACCTATAGGACAGAGTAAACTGCCCCATAGGGTTTTCAAGGAACGGCTGGTGGATTGGAACTGCTGACCTTTGGAATTGCAGCCCAGCTCTTAACCAGTGCGCCACCACGGCTCTACAAAGGTGTCTACATATGTAAAAAGTCATTGAGCTGTACTCTTAAGATCTGTGCATGTTACTGAATGTAAAGCATAACTCAATAAAGTACTAAAAAGGAAAAAAGAAAAAGCGCTACCAATTACCCCTGGAAGAAGCAACAGGGACAAGCCTTAACATCTCTGTAACAGCCTCTGGGTGATGGTCTGGGAGGACAAAGTAACAACACTCCATCTCTGCTCTCTAATTGTTTTGAATACAATGCAGGAGCCAGGAAAACACACTAATCAAATCACTCCTCTGCTTAAAATTCTTCTCCGGAATTGCGAGCCGCCACGGGAGGCCGGAAGCCGGGAAGTCTGTAACAACAGTGCTGTGCTCAGTGCTTTACAACTACTATCTCATTTAACTCTCGTAATAACCCCATGAGATAAGAGAGAACAAACCCACTTTAGATGGGTGAAGAGCACTTTCCTTTATGTTCCTCCACGCGGGACGTCAAGGTGCTTTGCACCTCACATGCCTGCGATAAATGTCTGTGGAATGGATGGTGAGACAAGCTAAGTTCTGAAAGTCCCCAACCTCGCTCTAAACACGACCTCGACTGGAAAGGACGGCCTTTATATTACGTCAGTAATAACTTCCCCACCTTCCCATCTCTCCCCAAGGACAACACAAGGCGGGTGGTTCTTCATTAGCCAAATCCTACATGTACAAACTAAGGATGGAAACATTTCCTTCGCAACAGAGACCACCATTTACCCCATCACGTAGAACCGCACAAGCACACGCTCCTGCCTAGCCACGCACGGTTCTGCGCAAGCGCAGGCACAGGCATTCTTGCCCCCCACCCTCCTCCCACCCCGGCACGGCCCCTAACTCCGCCCCGCACGGCTCCGCGCACGCGCAGGCTGGGGGGGGGGCGGGATTTTACCTGCGGATAGTTGGAGGCGGTCGTCTTTTTCTTCTTACTGGTGCTGTAACCCCCGGCGCTGATGCCATTGTTGGCAGGGCTGGCTGGTCTCTTCTTGCTGTTCCGGGCTATCCCCGGAGCGGAGCTGGTGGCCACAATTGGAATTTGAGCCGCCATCCCTCCCCGGAGCCGGTCTCCCCCTCTTCCCCACTGTTTTCCCTGTACAGGCCCTGAAACTTCCGTCTCTCAGCTGCTTCCGTCTTGATGCCTGAAAACCCGGCCTGGATTCTGAAAGGATTCGCTGACTTCTCTCGGCCGAATCAAAAGGTTGGAGCTCGGAAGAGTCTATTCCGTCGTGGTGGCGACTGGGTGTTGTCAGCAGGGCGTGTCCTGCTACTTCTGCGCTCTCAACCTGGGCCTAAGGGCACGTGCTAGGAAGCCCCCAGTGACTCGGGCATAGAACATCTCACGATCTTTTTAAATAACTGGATTTAAAAAAATTTAGAACTGCGTTGTCTTTTCTCACGTCAGATCAGAAGCTCCACCACTTTGGGTATCGGTGAGAGTAAAGGTAGGGTCATCTCGATGGGCTGGCCACCGCCAAGCCATTAGCTTTCCCCTTGGTCACTGCTTTCTCACGACAGTTTGTGTATTCAGTAGTGCCCAAATAGACTTGAAGGGTAGAGAATGGTTCATATACTTTTAGGGTTCACAGACCCCTTTGAGCATAGAAGCTGCAGACTATTCTCCCTCACCACCGAATTATACAAGCATAGATGAATTTTACATAGAGATTTCAGGGAGTTCATAGATTTGCTAAAACCTATTTATGGACTTCGAAGCCCCCGCCCCCTTATTTGCCTCATACTACCCTATACTTCTTAAGAAACTTAATTTTATGACATACACATAGATGTCATTTTGGCCCCTACTGCTAGGATGATGGGACCCTGGTGGCGCCGTAGTTAAGATCTTAGGCTGCTAACCAAAAGGTCGGCAGTTCAAATCCACCAGCCGCTGCTTGAAAACCCTGTGGGGCAGTTCTCCTCTGTCCCATAGGATCCCTATGAGTCGGAATCGACTCAACGACAACAGTTTAACAGCTAGGATGCAAGCTCTATGATGAGAGGGTCAGTTCTGTTTTGTACACTTCTCTGTCCCCAGTGCCTGGCACCCAAACCAAACCAAACCCGTTGCCATCGAGTCCAACTTAACAGCGGCCCTATAGGACAAAACAGAACTGCCCCACAGAGTTTCCAAGGAGCTGCTGGTGGATTTGAACTGCTGACCTTTTGGTTAGCAGCCTGAGCTCTTAACCACTGCACCACGAGGACCCCACACTACCCTGCAAATTCTTGGTACAGTATAAATATTTTTTGGATGGATGAATTAAAAAAATGAATGAACCCTCTGCAGTGGCTAGTTGGAAGCTACTGTGCTGTAATACAGGAAAGTGCCATATGTAAATCTGGATATTTGAAGGGAATAGTCTGCAAAATGACTTAGAGGTGAGAGCAAGAGGCCAGTTAGGGAAAATAGCAATCAGTCTGCTGACATCTTATCTCCTTTGGAGAAAGGAGTAACCTACTAGTGTTGAAATATTCTCTCCCACACCTCAACCTTCACCTCCATCCTCACCTAAATCTATTCTCTTTTATTCCTTATCTCAGTGAGTCACACCTCCAACCAACCAGCCACCTAAGGCAGAAACTAGGTGTGGTCCTGGCTCCCTGGGCCCAACTTCTCTAGTATCCCATTCAAATCAGTACTCCCGCCCCCCCCGCCCCCCCACCCCCGGCCCACAGCTCATTTCTCTCCTTGACTGCGCCTGCCCTAATGAAACCATCTCCCCTAATCTGGATCCCTGCAACAGCCTCCTGGTGGAAGTTTGGGTCTCCATCTTTCCCTAATCCTCCCTGACCCCAGTCCATTCTTCACACTGGCTGCTAGAGTGCGCTTTCAATCACAAATCTAATCGTGCCACTTACTTTGTTATATTCCTCAGGGCCCTTTTACCTTTAGGGTAAAATCCAAAGAACTTTTTAGCTTGGCATATAAGACCCTTAATCACTGGTTTCTGTCCCCTTCTCTTGCTTCATTGCCAATACTTAATTCCCTGTGCTCTATCCAGGGACTATTTCCTAGAGTGTACTTTTTTTTTCTCCTAACTTATCATCCCCTTATTCACACTATTTCCTTTTGTAGGAATGCTTAGCTCATTGCCTGGTTAATGCCCCTTGTGTCTAAGTTCAGATGCTACTTCCAATGAAAAACTTGTCACCACCTGATATGCCTTCTTTCTCCTCCCCCTCCCTTTTCCCCCACCCTATGTCTGTGTCTCTGAGGACATTGAGCACAGGGTGCTCTGATGGGATCCTGCCTCTAATCCCCTGGTAAATGTTTACTGAGTTCAAGCATCAATTCTCTACTTGTAAGGAGTCATACAAGTGAATGGACCACCATCTGGCTAAATTCAGTCCCAACCTTGTCTGATTCTTTTCTTCCTGAAATCCTTTCCCCGGTACCTGAAACACCACCATTGTGTTGTTTCTCTCTTTCCTAACCACTTGAAGTCTTTTTGGCAGTTTTCCTTTTCTACCAAATGCTTTCTAATGCTACCACGGGTTTTTCAAAATATAAATTCTCTAGTCACATTTCCAAGAAGATACACATTTTAAAAGCTTCTGGGGTTGTTCTAATGATCAGCCAGGTTTGGAAACAAGCTCTTCCTGCTCAGTCCTTACTCACTGAGAATTTCACAGGGCTTGGTTCTGGGCCCTCTCCCTTCTCAGTCTATAGTCTCCCCAGCCATTTCACCGACTCATAAAGCTTCCATTACCATCTAAATGCAGACCACTTTCAAATTTGTATCTCCTTTCTGCGTCTCTTCCCCAAAGATCCAGGTCCAGATAGAAAATTCCCTGCTTGACGTCGGCACTCAGATGCTTACAAACATTTCAAACAGAATTCATCATCCTACCTCTCCTCTAAAACATACTTCTCCTTTAGTGTTTCATATCTCAGTAAATGCCACTATAATCCACCAGTTGTTCAAACAAAAAACCAGGCAGCCACCTTGATTCTTACCTTTTGTCCACCTCCACACCATAACCCTGTTTCAGCCACCATCATCTTTCTCTTGGACTCCCTGATAGCCTTATGTGTTGACTCTCCCTGCGTCCATCTCCGGCCACTCCAGCCCAGTCCTCCTGTGCATTTCTAGATGGTCTGTTTAAAGACACCAATGAAAATACTTTAGATCATACTTCCTACTTGAAATCCCTCAGTGGCTTCCTGCGGTCCCTAGAATGAAGTCCAGTTGTCCCTAAATGGTTTGAAATGCCTTCAGAGACCTGTTCATCTCCCCAGGCTTGCCTCTCCCCCTGCTCAGCACTCCAGCTCAGTTTTCAATTTCGTCAGTTACAAATACCAACTGTGTTCTCTCTTCCCTCAGGGCCTTGACACATAGTACTCCTCCTGCCTGGACATTCCTTGTCTCCCAGCACCACCCTCCCCTGGTTTCCCATCCTTCTTCTGTCACAGTAATTCCCACTCAGCTTTCCTATCTTGGCTTATGTGCTATTTTCTGAACATTCCCTATCCCTCTGTTGTTGTTGGGTGCCATCAAGTTGATTCTGACTCATAGTGACCCCGTGTGACAGAAAATCCTTGCATCATACACTCATCAGCCTCAGTTACCTAGTACCTATTGATTACCTATTATGTGCTAAGCCCTGAGAATAGAGACGAGAAAAAACAAAACAGTCCTGCTCTTGGGGAGCCTCCAGTCTAGTAGGGTAAGAGAAGGGTAAGAGAGATTAAATATGTCTTCTTGGCTGGACCTAATCTCTGCATAGGCAGTTGCCAGAGTCATCAGGAATTGAGTGGCAGAGCATCAACAAATGATCACAACAAGAAGAGTGGGAGAAGAGCTGGAGGACACTTTTCAGTAGCTCAAAAGCTTTGCGCTGGGGAGAAACCTGCTGCATATTCATCTTGGCAGTACCAGTCATTGCACAGTGTTGGAACAAGTAGGGACTCCATACACTTGGATGCATATGTAACTGGTGGGTTCCCGTACACTCTGGTAATGATAAACTAACACTGATGACCCAAATTCTGCTGGCTTATGTGTTGTCTTAGCTATCTAGAGCTGCTATAACAGAAATACCACAAGACCAGTGGAAGCCTTTAACAAACCCAAATTTATTTTCTCACAGTTTAGGAGGCTAGAAGTCTGAATTCAGGATGTTGGCTCTAGGGGAAGGTTTTCTCTCTGTCAGCTCTGGGGGAAGGTCCTTGTCTCTTCAGAGCTTCTGCTCCTGGGCAGTCTTCATGTGGCTTGGCATCTGTCTTACCCCATCTCTGCTTCTTTTGCTTGTGTGTCTAATCTCTTTTTTATCTCGAAAGAGATTGACTCAAGATACCCTACACTAATCCGGTCTCATTAAGATTATAAAGACAACCCATTCCCAAAGTAGATTATAGCCACAGGCACAGAGGTTAGAATTTACAACACATGTTTTGGGGGACACAATTAAATTTATAACGTGTTGAAGCTGGACCTAACCTATCCCTGGTTATTCTCATCTCTGCTGCAACGAGAGCCCTCTCGTGTACTTCCTCTTTAGCTTCCTTGTTGGTGCCTGCTGTGCCTGTGTCCCTCACAGATGCCACATTTCCTTAGGAAAGAGCTGCTGGAGCCCCACTGGGACACTACTGCCCTTCCTGAGGCACACCAGTTCAACAGCATCAGCCAGAGCCTTGATCCCAATTAAGATTTAATGGTTAAGAATGAATGATGTGCTCAGCTGATATTTGACAAAGGCCCAAAGTCCGTTAATTGGGGAAAAGACAGTCTCTTTAACAAATGGTGCTGGCATAACTGGATATCCATCTGGAAAAAACTGAAACCAGACCCATACCTCATACCATGCACAAAAACTAACTCAAAATGGATCAGAGACCTAAATGTAAAATCGAAAACAATAAAGATCATCGAAGAAAAAATAGGGACAATGCTAGAAGCCCTAGTACATGGCATAAACAGAATACGAACCATAAGTAACAATACAAAAAACCAGAAAAGAAACTGGATAACTGGGAGCTCCTAAAAATCAAACACTTATGCTCATCAAAAGACTTCACCAAAAGAGTCAAAAGACAACCTACCAACTGGGAAAAAAATTTTTGGCTACGACAAATCCGATCAACGTCTAATCTCTAAAATCTACAAGATACAGCAAAACCTCAACAACAAAAAGACAAATAACCCAATTTAAATATGGGCAAAAAAAATGAACACACACTTCTCCAGAGAAGACATTCAGGCAGCTAACAGACACGTGAAGAAATGCTCACGATCATTAGC